TTCCAGCTAATATACCATTTTGAAACATACGAATAATTTCCCAGAAATCATCTTCATTTTCAATATTAGGAATATTTACTATCGTACCATTTTCCACTAAATATACAAAATAGGACATATCTTAAATTTTGATACAAAAATTTGATTACATTTAATTTGTGTAGAAGAAATTTTTTTATTATCATTTATCGAAGGAAATAAATCAAGTATTCGATTAATAAATGATGTCGGTTGAAATGAACATTTGATACATGAATCAAATATTGTTTTTAAAACAGTATAACATTCACCTGGACCAAATATCGATGGCATTGATGAATGAAATCGTTGAGGATTTAATAACATTCCACCATTATCACCAATGTAATTCCAATAAACAGTTACTAGAAAAACAAATAAAATGTTATCAATTCAATATTAATTCGAAGAGAGAAATCAAGGTGACTAGACAATTTTTTGCAGAATGGATCTAAAACTGTTATTTGCTAGGATACTTACTCACATAAGTGTGCGTACGGTTTCCGATGCACCCGTAAGCAACTGCCCTGTCGCTCAAATGTCTTAACGAGCAATTGTCCCAGCGAGCAACTGTCTGGTACCCTGAAGGGAAAATCATTACGGACGAATGGTTGTAATATCTAATAGTAAAACACAATTTTGTACTACCAACTAATTTTCTAGAGAATGATGATGAAAGGTGCAGTAAAATAGTAAGCGGATATTAGTTTCAAGAAAAATTGAAAAACGATTGACAGATTTTCAATACCATAAAATCTTTTTCGCTAGTACACTAGAAGAATCTTTATAACAAAACTGAAATATTTCGTATATTTTTGGACACTGCTCAGTTGTTGATTTAATTTTTTCACAAGATTCTGTAGGCAACTATTTATCCATGCAACGAAATCAAATGAATAATTCCAAAATTGAATCGATAAAAATTTTTCATGATCATTTTTTTTTGTATTGAGAGAAGCTCACTAACTGATAAATCGCTTGTGAGTCGCATTTTCATGGTATTTTTTAAATCAATGTTTTAACTAGGAAAAACAATTTTTCCAATTTCTATTTGACACTTTATACAAAGACAAATCTTAATGAGAAGAGTTTAAGTTTAAAGTTTTAGTTCTTTTCGTCATTTCTATCCTAAGATATGGCTATGATAAGTGTGTCTTTCACAGCGCCATATGTAACATCAAACTTTTCTGTTCTTATTTAACAATAGGAGCAGTTTAACGAAACAGGGTCAAGCTTACTAATACTTTTTAGAAGTAAGAAGAAGAACGAAAGCTATTGTAGCTTGGTCTCTCCTACAACAGGCGACCTGCTACCAGATCGTATCTCCTCAATCTTATTCATCTCGCAATGATATGATCTGGTTTTTTTCATGTCACTTTCTGCTAGAGAAAAGCAAATTGTGTTTTGAAAATCTGGTTGTCGTACAAACTTATCACGAAGCTACAAAATATTGTCAATAAGTCAGAAATTCTGCTGGGAACCCATCATCCTCTCCTAATCAAGAACGCTGAACAGGACTCAATCCCTCTATTGATTGAAACTGAATAAACTTTTGACAAGAGATGAAGATCAAGTATAGTTAGTTTCGCACATATTTAAGTTAGAGTGAATAAAAATCTTACCAATAAGCTGTTCTTTTTTTATATTCTTCGTTTGAATATCATGAAAATCTAGTGAACTTTTATTTTCATTTTTGTTTGGTGATGTTGTATTTGACTTTTTTGTCGTTACTAAATTATTATTCTTCTCATCCATTGTTGTTGATGAATAAGATGAATCATTGGATGATGGTGAAATAATTGTTTTTTTATTTTTTGATTGTTGCTGTCGGACATTTCCATTCTGTTTATTTGGACTTATTGGTAATGATTTCATTGATGTACGAGAAGGAGCTAAACAAAAATAAAAATGAAAAAATATTGAAATTGTTTTTTTTTTCTTCGTTAAAATTGATGAATACATACGATTTCCACCGACTTTAGCAATTCGAATTCCTGCGGATTTACACCAACCAACAGGAAAAATCTCTCTTGATGAATAATCAACTTTAAAATTATTTGATGAACTCCAACCATCTAATGATAACATAATTCTATGATCACCATAAATTATATTATTTACTGTAGCTGGACATATTAATTCTGGATGTTTAGGATCAACAGCTTCTAATTTTTGTCCTTTTTTAAAAAGATTTTTTTCAGGTTTTATGGGTATCTATGATATAAAACGTTTAATTATAATAAATTATTATTTTTGTTTATTTACCGTTTTAAAACATGATGCATTCGCAAATGGTCCATTTTTAACATTTCTTTCAAAATATTTTGCCCATCGCGTTGAATTTTGTTGAAAACCAAGTGGAGGTACAATTTGTCCACCCTAAAATATTTAATGAATAAAAAGAATTTATTTTTTGTTTTTTGTTCATACAAATTTAGCTGTTGTTCCATAACAACGAATATCAGTTGAATCAACAAGTCGCCAAAAATCATTTCGATCATCAGTTCCATCTAATCGTATACGTATTCTTGGTCCATCTTTATCAATTATTGTTCCAATACACCATGAATCTTGATTTCTTGGATCAATTGTTTCAAGTTTTTCTCCAACATTAAATTCATTTTTTGGTGGAATTAATGACTTAAAAGAAAAATGATTAACTAAATAGTAACTAATTGAAAAGAAAAACAAATATATACTTGTCTAAAATTACAAGCTGATGCTGCTTCACTATTTGTTTCAATTAAATATGTATCCCAATCATGTTCTAAATGAAAAGCAAATTAAAATTTAATAAGAATTTATGCGTTTTTTTATTTGTATACCTTCATCTCTCGGTGAATTGTCTGGAGTTAAAGACATTTTTCTTTGAGATAAATTCATTATTAATACATCTAAAATAAATCAATTCTCAGGAGTCAGAAAAAAAGTAACTTGATAAATTTTTTCTCTCAATTTTTTTTTGTCTCGATTCATTGACAAGAGAGACCAGAAGAAGAAAGAAAGAATGAGTAATAACGGCGCAGAAATTGAACCAATGGTTTGTTGGATAATTGAATAGATGGCAGTCAAAGAAAACATTGATATATAAATGATATGATTTTATGTTCTTTTTTTTTTGACTTATTCAAGACTGGTTCGATTGGGGACGTAACGACCCACACAGTTATGATAAACTTTTGTTCTTTTTGCCAACAAAGTCGAAAGTTTTTCTTATGTTCTCTTACGAAAAAAATCGCAATCTACCCAATATTGACTGTCTCGCGATAAACCTCAAATGATTCAATATAATTAATGTCGTTTTTATGTCATCTATGCTATATTATAGTAAAACTTATTCATAGAAGTGATGACCTAAAGAATTTGAGAACATAACTGTCGAGATCAATATGATAAAGAAACTGAAAAAAGTTAATCTTTACCGAAAATTTAAATGTACTTTTTTTGTTTCTATTTCTGCAGGAATGTACAAAAGAAACATGACGTTGGAATTTTTCAATTACTTTTACCTTTTCCTTCTTTTATCTCAAAAACTTGAAACTTGGAAGAATTATTATAAAACTACGAGTGGCTTGTTAGAGAAATCAGCAGTGTTCAAAATTTCAACAAAGAAAATTTCGAAAATTTCCAGTATTTGTATTCCAAATAGTTCGGTACTTTCGACAATGATGTAATTTTGGAAATTGCTATGACTCAGTACTCACTAGAATTTCTAAAAACTTTGATTTATATTGCTAAGTAGTTATCGAACTGATGGAAATTTTGATAATTTCCTTTTTCAAAAATCTGAACATACCTCCTCTTTTTTGTAAAATTCTAAAAGCGAGAGACATGCGCACTTCACAAACGTCGCTTTCCTGTTTCTTACGATCACCTGCTAAGCTACAACACAAAAAAAACATATGTTGTTTCTGCGGAATATGAATTCGATAAAAATGACTAATTTAGCCAGTATACTGCAGGCGAAAAAATGGCGACACTTGAAACATCTTGTTACATGAAGTGAGAAAAAAAGTGAAGAATATTTATGGCAAAAGTTGTCTATTCAATAAAACATTATCAAAGTGTTAAAACACTAAATATATCTTATTTTTTATCTCTATACAATGTTTAAATTGATTACACTGAAAAACGACAATCATTTCAAGTATTACATCGTGACTTGGTTTCTTAGAAATCGACACATTCTGATTTCGTAATAACTTTGTCACTAAAGAAATATTTAGGAACGAACACTGAACTAAATTTCAGCCACTAGTAACATAAATTCAGCAAATCAAAAACGTGGAATTTGATCCAGTCGGTAGTTTCTCATCACTTGAGATTATATGATTAGACGGAAAAAAACTTATCGTTCTCTTGAATTAATTTATGTTAGTTACCGATCATGGGCGACACTAGATGTCGTCATATTTTCTAAAATTTATTTTCCTTTTTTTAGAAATATGGTGGCATTTTGATTTTTGAAATAATAAAATGATTAACCTTTTTTAATTTCGAATAAAAAAATTAAATTGAAAATGGAGGCTGCCTTCTCACAGTTATGCACGATTATTATTATTTTTTGTTTGTTGTTATGTTATGATTCATATGGCTTTTTCCTTGTTTCGACATTACTCGTGACACGTATAAAAATTGAACTGATCGACACTTCCTTTCTTTTTATTTTCTAGATTGTAAACTGTCGTGTCTGGAAAATCTATACCGTACCATCGTCATCGTTTTCCGTCGTATTCAACGATTTCTTCGGTCATCTAGTTGATCATCGTGATCATCGTCGATTGTCCAATAACATTTCGTTTGTGTGTGTGCGTGTGTGTGTGTGTGTACGTTTTTTTTTCAAGACTAGTTGAAAAAAGTGTTTGTTTTTCCTCTGCTAATTTTAATTTCTCATCTTACAACGATAAGAAAAAAAATAAACGTCCTGTATCAGTTTCATTTCTGTATTATTGTATCTTTTGTCTATCGAAAAAAAAAAAATCATGTCGATTATTCGATATCGATTTAAAGCAGACAAAAATTTTGAATCAGTAAAAATTGATGGAATGAATTGTTCTCTTGGAGAACTTAAACGTTTAATTGCTGCAAAATCATCACGTTCAGGAACTTATTATCCTAAAGATGATTATGATTTAATTATTAGCAATGCAAATACTCATGAAGGTTGGTTAAGAACTTCTTTCTTCATATTTGAATATAAATTTTTATATATTTAGAATACAAAGATAATTCGGACTTAATACCTCGTAATGCAAGTGTTATTGTAGCTCGACGTATACGTGGAACAGTTGATACATTAACACCATTTTCAAATCAAAAACCTGTTGTTTCATCAGATGATATTGTCAAAGAGTAATAATAATTTTTATTACAAAGGAAAAAAAATTAAATATTTTTTTTTTTTGTTTTTTTTATTATGACAGTATTCTTCGACCTGCTATTTTAAATCAAAGTCAAACGGTTACAACGACAAGTGCATCATCAAATGTCGAAACTAATTCAACTCTATTGAAAAAAAATTCTGAAGTAAATAAATTAATATTAAAAATAAAACAAATTAATTAATCAATTAATTTTGGAATATTTTAGTCGACAAGTAATGCTTCATCGAAAGAATTGACTGAAGATGAACTAATAAAAGAAATTCAAATGGGTTCTCAAGCTCGTTATGTGTAAGTTTGCATATAGAAAACAAAAAAAATAAGACTTGAATTAATGATTTTTATTTAATAGAACATCACAACAACCATATCGTACGAATTTATTTGTTTGTCACAATTGCAAACAACCTGGTCATATAAAAAATCAATGTCCTTTAATTCTGGTAGGTTTTTGAAACAAACTCTACAACGAGTGTTGAACTATATAGAGTAGAAAATTTACACTCGTCCAACAGACTGTATCAGGCGCTGATAAAGCCCATCGCGTTCATCTCGAGTCTGAGCCTAAGATTTTTCTGTTAACTGGATCTGAAAACTTTGGACCCACTGGGCGCTACTCTATACATGTCTCAGATGACTTGTCTAAGATATTTATAGAGTGCGCTAGTTACTGAATACAACAACTTGAAAAAAAGTATTTCATATCTTGGGAGCGGTTATTTTATTCTGATTAGAAAATTTCATTGAGAGTATTAAAGTACGATTCGACCGGATCTATAAAAGTTTGATGAATGAGGAAAATTTGGACTCTAGACTTTGGTGAGGGACCATCTCAGATCGTAGCAGACGCTATTGATATACAACCACACGAGACTGAAGAAGTGTATCCCACGCTTTAATTCCGCAGGGATTATGCTAACAGCTTTCACTTTTATAATCGATTCATTGTATTTTAAAATCTTTCTTTGTGAATGTTGTCTTTTATTGGACCAGTCCATCGTTGACCCAAACGAATTTGGTTAGGAATGAGCACTACTTTAAGGGTTCTTATGTCTGGTGTTACGAGCAATATAACCTCTGTAATATGAGCAACATATGTCCTATTATTTATGTGTAGAATGAGAAAAAGTAGACGAACCAATCGTACATATTTAAAAGCAAAATAGGTTATTAGACAACAGCACTTGTGTTTGAGTTTAAATCTAGTATCATCAAGTCATGCCAATATGAGTTGGTTTATCTATGATGAAAAAGATCATTGGCAAGCGGCAATGTCATTGCAAGCAAACATTGTTGAGTGGTCGCTATGTTACCTATATTAGAGAGCTTTTCTTGTATATAAAATCAGCCATGATTAATGTCATCCTTTGTTTTTTATAACTTTTGTATACATCATATTATTCAATCATTAATAATAAAGATACTAAAAATTATAATCATATGAATAATAAGAATGAAAATGTATAGCTGTCCTGTTTTATATAACTTAGAATGGACCTTCTTTTTTTTTTCGATTGATAATTTCCTATTCGACTTTTTTTTTTTAATATCTTTAACAGTCATCAAATTCAATTTCAACCGGTAATGCATCTGGTTCATCATCATCTGCCAATGATGGAACATCTTCAACAAATTCTGGCTCCAATCGATCATCTGGATCGCATTCATCACATATTGTTACACGTCATGCACCATATCCAATGTCTTATCATCATCGTGGAAATCGTTCTCATCGTGGTGCAGGTCATCCACGTGGTGAACCATTACCTAAGAAAACTACTGGTATACCACGTGATCGTCTTATTCCGGTTCCAAAACATATACCCGGTGCATTAAGAGATCAAAGTGGTGCTTCAGTTGTACCAAGACAAATGGCGTAAGTTAAAAGAATATTAATACATAAATAGAGATCTTTTTGCGACTCTTCATCATTAGTAAAGGTAGTTCTTCATAAGATCTTAAATCTTGGTCTAAAAATCTCTTCCAGCTATCATCGCCATACATCTAAACTCACATTCTGAAAGGAAATACAGGGAATGAAAGTAGTTCTAAGGCTAAAAGAATTAGAGAAGATGGAGCGGGATGAATTTAATTTCTTGTGTACCTATGATGAACAAGATCGGTTTTATCTTTAACGTACTGAATATTCGAAGTTTGTTTTTAAGAAAAAAGCTTTCGTTCAATATTTGATATAGAGAAATAGAAGCAACCAAAGAACATAGTTTGAAATATGTGAGATTGAGACGGGCTAGTTGTTCGCAGCGTACATTTTGGCATGGCAGGTAAAGATTAACTTAGAATATTTATAGAAAGTTTTATGCAATTTGAAGCTGTGGAAACTCACTTTACTGAGTACCTTTTTGAGAAAAACAGATTAGCGTAGACAAAAAATTTATTATATGAATCGAGTGATAGCTGATACCAAAGTTTTTTTACGATTAAGTAACCCATATTGTGAAGTATATAGTCCACTCTTTGTTTCTTGTAAACGTGCACGTTCAACTTGTCACGTACTACCCAACTGAATGCATACTATGTCTCCTCCCTACTTTTCACGTCATATCCGTGAAAATTGTCAGGTGTTATCGAGAAACTGTGTGTCAATTTTTAGCTTCTTCTACTTCGAAATTTTCTCAAGAACACTGGAAAGCGATCATCATGGATTAGGTTTTTTTTTGCATGATTCGAATATTATTTAACTTTTACATGTAATAGTCATTTGATAAACATTTGTTTTTAATGATATATATCTCTAATCATATAATTTGTCTATTAAGAAAATATCGTGTTAATATATATTAGTGAAATGTGTTATCGTAAGATCAGTTGTTTTTGTTTCGAGATCCTTACATATTCATTCCGATGAGTTTCTCTATAGATAAATTAGAGAAATGATCTCTATATTTGTATTGATAATATGTAATTATTTTTCTAAATTCTAGAGAATTATATGTCGAAAGAATTGAAAAGAAAACAGATTCATCGGGTCAAATAGGACGACAAACAGATGAAAAAGGTGTTTCATCATCAATATCATCTTCATCAAAATCAACTGATAATGAACTCCCACCAAATGATCTTCTTTGTCCTTTATGTAAACAAGTTTATACTGATGCTGTTATCACACCTTGTTGTAATCTTAGTTTTTGTGATGCTTGTAAGATAAATAAATCGTTTTATGATACATATGAATTAACATTTTTTTTTCCTAATTAATGTAAAAAGGTATTCGTACAGCTTTAATTGAAAGTTCTGAACATGAATGTCCTCATTGTCATTGTCAACATGTTGCCATTGATCAGATAAATCCAAATTTATATTTACGAAATCATATTAAACGTTGGCATGAACGACAAAATCAATCATCTTTTTCACAAATATTAATGTCACAACATCCAACACAAACATTAGATCAAGATATTGATACAACACCAACAAATCTTTCAAATACTGATGAATATGAACCACCTATTCTTTCAACAAATTCACAACAATCTTCTGCACCAATAAAAACAGCACCAATTATTATTAAAATGCAACCACTTGCAAAAAGTCAATCACCACAACCAATTGTTTCAACTCGACCAGCTGATATGACATTTGAAGATGAAAAAATATCTGATATTGATCAAACAACATCAAGGTTTGTTGTTTGTTTTTATACATCTATAGAATATTTATTATTTGTAAGTTTATTTTAGTCAAAAAGATGTTAAAACAATTGAAGAAACAACAGATACAATATCATCATCAATTACTCCTGAAAGTAAGTCATGGAGTTTATTTTTTGTGAAATACGAAAGTGAGGATGTGGTCGTGCAATAGCTTCTATGCAAGAAACTTAGGAAGTTTTCGAAAGATATCTTTAGGGAGAAATCAAATGAAAACAATGTCTCTGTGATTAGCAACAGTGATTAAGTTATCTTTTCAATTTTAATTCTGCAAGCGCAGACTTGCTGATCATGAAGTAAAAACTGTCGCTCCTCTAAAATTTCCGACTTTCTGTAATTTTTTTTTAATAACTTCGCAGTATCTTTGAAGAGAAGTGGATTTTGAAACACGATTTGCTTTTCTCTGGCAAAAGTTAAAATAAAAATAAGCAGAAAATATCGTTACGACGTGAATAAGATAGGAAAGGAACTGATTAATAACAGGTTGTCTATTTTTCTAGCACCTTGAGAATGAAAGTACTTTTACAGAGAATTTATGAACTGTGTCTAAATTTTAAATCTTATTTTATTTATTAAGCTGAAAAACCAGAACGTGAAACTACTTCAACTCAAGTTGTTCCTGTAAACACAATTTATTCATCACCATCACTTGCACCAACCATTGCGCCAACAAATCCTGTTGTTCCTCATTATTATCCAGTTCCTCAACATCATAATGTTGTGTATCCTCATCATATTCCACCAACAACATCAAATGGTCTTTATCCAATACAACCGTAAGTCTATTAAATGAAAAAAACAAAAGAATTTTCTAATTTTTTTTTTTTGCCTTAGAAATTATTATCCACCTCCAGTTGCAGTTCGTTATCCTGCTGGTGGTATGCATCATTATCCACCATATGCACCTGCTCCACCAATTCATCATCATCCTCTTCCTCCTCCTCCGCCTCCAATTGTTGCTCCTCCACATATTCCAACAAATGGTTATAATATGCCTGGTTTTCATCCTCATTCAGCTGCACCATATACATCAACATCGACATTCATTGCTCATCATCAAACAGCTACTCAACCAATATCAACAGCTCTTTCAGAAAATGAATTTTATATAAAACAACGTTATTTTCAACGAATGTAAGATTTTATTTTCATTATTTTAGTATTAAATAATTTATTACTTTTAGTCAACGATCACCTAGTCGTCGTTCACGTTCTTCATCTTATTCTTCTTATTCAAGCAGGTAAGAGAATTTTTCTTGTTTGATTAAAATAATAAAGAATTTTTTATTTTAGTGATTCTCGTAGTTCATCACGTTCACGTTATAATCGTCGTCGACGTTCATCTCGTAGTCGTAGTCGTCATAGAGTTAAATCTCCAGTTCGTGATAATCGTCGTCAACGACGATCATCATCCTATCGAAATCGACGACGACCGATTGAAACCAAAGAAAAACCTTCAACAAAATATCGAAGGTAAAATTTACCCCCTCCCTCCCTTTCTTCCAAAAAATATTTTTGTTTTCAATTTCTATTGTTAAATAGAACACCACCTCGACCAGCTCGAGATCATGAACGACGTCGTTCACCTCGTCCACCACCTACTATTCAACAATCTACACAACGTACAATAGTTTATTTACAAGAATCTTCACATTCCAGGTAAGTAAAAAAGAACATTAAATTTTAAATTTATTTCTTATGAATAAATTTATGTTATTTAGTCGAGATCGTCGTCGAACAAAAAGTCGTTCACGTGAAAATGATGATCGTATTAGTTCATCATCGAAAAAAGAACAACAACCACAATCAGAATCGAAAACATCTTCGGTATCATCACCTATAAAAACAACACTTTCATCAAAAATTGAAACAGTAGTTGAAGAAACACTTGAAAAAGTTCAAGAAGATAATTCTAAAAATGGAAAAAAACATAAAAAACATAAGAAACATCGTCATTCAAGTTCAAAAAGCAAAAAACGTCATCGAAGTAAAGATAAAGAAAAAAAGACAATTGTCGATACAACAACATCGGTCATTGAAATTCATTCATAATATTCACTTTGGTTTGCTTTCTCATGTCATATATGTCGTATGCGAAAGAATTTTTTTCATGTATTTGTTTTTCTCTTTTGTTCTATTTGTTAATTTTTGTTTCTTTTTTCGTTTTCGACAGAAAAATAAAATATACTGATGAAACATTATTTAAAATTGCATTTTTTTTCTTATTTATTCATTAGGAAAACGATAAAAAGATAAGTGTAGATACAAACCATGGAACAGTTGAAAGATTCGTAATAAAGATATATTATTAACAACAACTTGTTTTTTTTTGATTGTTTAAATTGAAGAAAAAGTATAGAATAGAACGTGTCTCGGATATACTGGACCTCAATTAAACTTAGTTTATATGCAAACAAACACTGACCTGTACCCAAATGTATCTATATGAGCTTCGCGCACTTAGAACAATGTCTTTTTGTGGCACATTTATGCAATGACATTAATTATTTTAGTAATAATGGTATAACCAGGAGAAGCGTGATAACTAGGCCGTGAATACAAGAAAAAGGAAGAATACAGCTACCTTTCTGCTTCATTGCGGCATGCAATTTGTCTTGCAACAGTTCTAATAGTCTGATACTTTCCTTACGGTTATGAGTAATTTAGAGGCAAATAATCATTAGAGACTTATTCAGAGTCTTGGTACCAAGAAGAGTTACAATGTGAATTATGTGTTCTTTCGAAATATAATTTCAAATTTTTGTCGAATTTCTGATTTAGGACTTATAAGTCAATCATTTAAAGGCCTGATAATTAAGTTTGAATAAAGAAAAATTAACACTTTTCTAAAACAATAATCTTCTTTACTAGAGACAGTGACTCGCAGAATTATTCACCCTCGGATTTATTTTTAATCTTTGTTCATTACCTTGATCATTAATAAAAATTCAAATAGTGATTCGTATAGATAATTTCATTACTAACAGTATTTTTCGAAGATGAGTCTGATTGCTATTTCTTCTAAGAGAGGCTTTCTCAAAATAAAATAAAAACATGTACAGGGTGTTGCAAAACCTTTGTGCCCCCTGGTTCGACCTTAAGGTCAAATGATTTCACTAAGTATTTTACACCGAATTGAAGCCCGTAAAAAACTGCATTTATTGATAATAAATGGTAAAGGTTATGAAGACCTTCTAATGTCGAACTTCCGAGATTTTCAGAAATTTGACACCTTTTTTGATGTAGAAAAGTAAGGCGCCAGTAATTGAAAATCGAAATAAAACGTTTTTCTTAGATAATTTTACATGATTCGATACAGCTCGACGAGCTCTACAAAACTATATATTTCAAAAACACTTTGAGCCATCTCTTTTTGATAAAAAAATTCAAAAACTGCTTGGAAAGTCACAAAAAATATTTGAAAGCTTTACTTTCTTCATATGGGAGAAACACACTCCGTTTTTCAATAAAATTAAGTTTTATTCATTATTTTTGCTGTCTTAGACGTTTCGAAATGTGCTCATTCGATGCAGTTTTTCACGTGGTATCGAATGAACACATTTCAAAATGTCTGAGCTAGCATAACCAATGAAAAAACTAATGTTATTGAAAAAATTGGATGTTTTTTTCATATCAGAAAAAGATGAATTTTTTTACATTTTTTGGGATTTTCCGTGTAGTTTTTTGAATTTTTTTTTCACAAAAAGATGGCTCGAAGTGTTTTTGAAATATATAGTTTTGTAGAGCTCGTCGAGCTGTATCGAATCATGTAAAAATATCTAAGAAAAACGTTTTATTTCGATTTTGAATTACTGGCGCCTTACTTTTCTACATCAAAAAAGGTGTCAAATTTCTGAAAATCTCGGAAGTTCGACATTAAAAGGTCTTCATAATCTTTACCATTTAGTATCAATAAATGCAGTTTTTTACGAGCTTCAATTTGGTGTAAAATACTTAGTGAAATCATTTGACCTTAAGGTCGAACAAGGGGGCACAAAGGTTTTGCAACACCCTGTATTTTGGCTCCTAAAATTCACTAAGAAAAATTCTATTTGAGTTACACAAAATGATACAATAAACAATGTTCTACAAAATGAAATGTCTTTCAGCGCTCTGCAACGTTTGTTAATCAAAATGCATCAACTTTATAGAAGGTGTGAAATTCATTTTTTCTGTTATTCGGATAGAAACATAATTTTAGTGCATTCCGTAAGATTGACGTATTGCGGTTGACAAATATCGTAGAAGGCTGAAAAACGTTTCATTTCCTAGCGAACTGTTTCCTCTACTTCAAATATAGAAATGTATTTGCACATTCTAAGAGTTTAAAAACTTGTTTTTTTTAAACAGGAAATTCTCTACACAAATCATGATGCAATACTATACTACTGATTCTTCCTACATAGAATTAGAGGCGAGATTGCTTTTTCAAAATTAGTAAAAGAGTCACGAGTTTCAGAGAACAACATTTAGAAATGGTTAAGCTCACTTTGTAAACCTATCGTTTCTAGAAATCAAGGAGATTATCTAAATTGATACGTTATACGTTACCTATATAGTCATGATTCGCAAATGAATTTGACCAAATTAATTATTAATATATCAATTTATTGCGAAACGTTTGCTCTTTCATTCTCCATATTTGAAATAAATATTGCTTCTAATTTAGGTGAATGTTGATGTACTGAAGATCGTCCAAAGTTAATTCAAGAGTTCCTAAAAGATCATTTCATAACTCTTGAACTAGAAGTCCTACAAAAAGTTTGAATCTGTTTTCTAAGAGAACACAGAAGTCGTATTTTATCACTCGATATATTCAAATTTCTGTAGACTCATGCAAGAAGCTAACAACTTTTCTGGTGAGTATTTGATAATTCTTTTGCCAATATCATTACAATAATTTATATTTTCAATACTAGAAGGTCTACTATTTGAATTTTTTATCTAGTCGAAGATCTAACTAAATATTGACACTACTCAAATGTTACGCATCATTACAATGAATCTGTTCAAATACATAACAAAACAAAAATAAATCGTTTGGTGTGTGGGCGTGGGTGTGTGGCTATAGGTGTAGATGTGCGGGTGTGGGTGTAAATCTACTGATCGCTCCCCACACTCATACCGTCGTCCTTTTGTCTTTCTGCGTAAGGTTGACTGTTGCTGTGTGGCTCTTATCAATAGAGTACTTATCTAAAAAGAATTCGAAAAAAAAAGGCGAAGCAGACAGAAACGAAATAGATAGTGTTATCGTTTTGCGAAAGTAAGAAGCTAATCATTTGAAAAAAACAAACGCACCGTGTAACAAGCAAAACAAAATTAAACTTACCCAGAACATTCAGTGTTTGCTGAATTGACCGTAGTAAGTAAATTTCTTGGAAGAGTCGACAAGCAAAAGAAATTTTTTTGAATATTACATACTTACGCTAGTAGCAAGACTGCGACTATCGAAAATGATTGAAATAGATTGAAGATTGAGGTTCGTAAGTATAGATGCGCGAGACCAGGTTTTTGTAATACCGGCTCGAACAAGTATTTTTGGTCTCAGTGCCGATAAAAGTTTTTTGGTACCGGTCTAGAGAAAACTATTCCGAAATGGATTCGTGTTGCGTCCAAAATAATTCTTCAATATTCGTGTTTCTATTCATTTAGTTGATGACTAGCTCTATTTTGGTTTATCTCTCTTGAGTTATGTTCTGATTGAGATGATTTATAAGATAATTTACCTAAAACTTTTGAATGTTTGACTTTTAACATCATTTCTAAAATGAGCCATTGGTTTTCTCTCATTCTTAGTCTTCATATAGGTCCCAGTGTCTTATACAGAGACTAGGATCGATACTGATCTTGGACATCTTTAATGATAATGTCTTTTTGTTTTTATCACAAAATATTAGTATGACAATAATAAAATAATTTATGATCCACAAAGAACTTTATTTGGAAATTGACAGAGTTAAGAGTATCATATCATTTCGGGTTTTGGCTTGGATCGCAGTCAGTGGCATAGCTAGGATTTTTCTACATGCTGAATCTCAGCTTCAGAGCGTCGGAACCAGATGAAATTCTTGAAGCATGATATTGAAACCAAATAATGAGCCTTTGAAGAAATTTGGGGTGTGAGTGGATGTTGACCTATTAATGGTTACACCCACACCCATACCCCATACCCACACCCCACACCCCACACTCACACCCACACACCCACCCACACCCACCCACACCCACATCCACGCCCACACCCACACCCACACCCACACAACCACACCCACACCCACACCCACACCCACACAGCCACACCCACACACCCACACCCACACCCACACACCCACACCCAGCCACACCCCCACACCCAATGTAGTCTTGTAAATAATTCAGATAAGCTTGAAAAGATAGTCTCGAAAACAGTTCGGTTACAGTGTATTTTTGAAAAATAAAATCTATTTTTTTTTGTAGATTACTAACTTTCTAATGGATACCAACAATGGCGATAAATCAATGCCTCGTCGCATCGCCGATATCAGCCCATTATCTAAGCGAATGCTAGCACCCATTGAAGGCTATGAAAACATGCCACTTGTAACAATTGAAGAAGCGGTCAAGCCTCTTGTTAAAATCGTACCAAAGGTCGAACGTAATGTGCATATCGTCAAAGAGAACTGTAAAAACCCAGCAGATGGTTTAACAACTGATGAATCTGCTTCAATTATGCTCTATACGTACGAATCGATGGTTCATGAACACTCTCTCTATGTTATTCTCAACGAAACGTTACGTTCTGAAGAAAGAAAAAATCTAATTCCTTGGTTTTTGTATTTACGACTTGTATTGACAGCATTGGCTCGCCTACCATCCGAACGACTTTTCGTTAATAGAGGAATCCGAAAAGACTTACACGAAGAATATCCGGCAGGTAGCAGTTTCGTTTGGTGGGGATTTTCGTCTTGTACTTCATCGATCAAGGTGTTGGAATCTGAGATGTTCTTAGGCAAAACTGGGACCCGTACTTTATTTCAAATCGATTGTCATACGGGAAAGAAGATTAAAAATCA